CCTTGCTGTATGCATCCGTCTGCATAAGTTAAATCCCTTTATCAGAAACCAGTAATGTAGTAAGTGAAATGTTTCTCTGAGTTCTGGGAGTGCTCTAGCAAATTAATCGAACCCAAGGACGGGTCACTGGAACGTCCGGTCTGTAGCCAGTGGGTCAGAAGCACGGAGGACAGCCTGGATCTGCAACAGGCATCTGAAGTGGGAGCGAGGGGGTCTGTCTTGTAGGACTGAGGCCTTAACCTGTGGGATCTGGTACTATCTCCAGATACTACTGTCAGAATTGAGTTGAGTTATAGGATACTCAGTTGGTGTCCTGGAAAAAAACACCCACGTGTTGGAAATGGATAATGCCAGAATCATAGTGGTGGGAATGGGAGACTGATGGAGATGGTGTGGAATGGTCCATGTCACGGAGCTGCAAAGGGGAAGGAGAGGGCACACAGAGAAGGCCCAGCCCTGGCAACAGGTCATGCCCAAGAGACCAGGCGCTTCTCTAGTGCTGCCTCTATTGTATTTTGGTGTTGCTTAAGTTTTAGCTTAGGCTTTTCCTGGAGGAGTGATAATTGAACTTAGCTGCCCACCTTGAGAGATCTAAACCAGCAAAGGGGTTCAATATATCTTAGCTAAGCAGTCAAGTATAATATGCCCATAGCCAATGATGGTGGCTTTTTAGACAATGCTGTTGACCTGGGATCAGGCCTGGGTCTGAGTCCAGCCTCTGTGACCTCGGGTCAATGGACACAGCAGCTGTCCTCATACAGAGCAGTACACACCATGAATGGTGCCATTTAGGTTCCTTTTAAAACTTGACAAATGGCGTACAGGGAGTTGTGCTTCCAGATTCCTTTGGTTTCATAGTAGAAATGAGTTCTTGCAAGTTGGAATTCCTGGATTCTGCTTTTTTATTCCACTTCTACCTTGCAGCTGGCTCTTCAATATTTTGCTTTTCTCCAGCCCTCGGACGTTGATCGTCCCTGGCCTTTTAAATAAAATTCCAACTTTTAAAGATATTTCCTTTGCTAATTAAAAGCAATAAAGTAATTTCTCTCTAGTTTTGCCTTATCTTAATGAAGTATGAAGACTTTCCCTCCCATTACTCTACCTTTTTTTTCTACCTCTCTATTTTTCCTTATTTCTTCTTCTTTTTAGCTTATTTGCATGTCCTTTGGCTTAGCTGTGCCTTGTTATTGGTTAGTGTTGATGGGAGTTTAGAAGGCAGGATTTGTTATTGAATTTGCTTTGCACTGCATTTAATACCATATGATATCCAGCTGTGTTTTCTGGTTTGACCGCAATACCACCAGAAAATAGTTTTTCCCCCAGATGATACATTGAACTTTTCAATTTCAAACCATCCATGCTAGATCCCTAGCAGAAAAAAAAAGTCATATCGTTTTGCATTATTTGTGGTGGTGTCTGTTCAAATAGATTAATAGGTATAGAAAAGCAAAGGAGATAGATTGGGAACCACAAGGCATCTAAGGTTGTAAGGATACTGGGAAGCTACTGGATTTTTTTTTTTTTTTTGACCAGTGTGTAATATAAGGTAAGTTGCTGATAACCAAACAATGCTTTGGGTAGGGTTTAAATGGTAGGTGTCTTTGTGCTACTTGTCTTCAGACAGATAAATTTGTTTAAAAGTCTCTCCATCTCTCCTTTTGGGCATATACTCCCTTTTGAACATATGACTCAAAAGTGAGCACAAAGTGTTTTTTCAAGAAGAAAAATTCACTCCTTCCTCCTGCCAAGGTGGCCCATGAGTCAGCAAATTCTGCCCCTTGTCCCATTAGCTGGGTGGTTTTAGTAGATGGCGTCATTCAGTTCCCCTTACCTCACAGTGCACTGATCACCAGCTGCTTTCACCCCGGGCTACTGTATCCCTCGGGGTTCCAACGGAGAAGCAGAACCAGTGGGGGAAAGAGAGAGAGTGATTGATTGACTGCAAGGACTGGCTTACAGATTGTGAGTGCTGACCAGGCAAATCTGAAGAAATCCATAGGGAAGGCTGTCAGGAAGGGCGGACTAGACTTCTCAGGCTGAATTTGCCCAAAACTGCCGTCCACAGGCAGAATTCCTTCCTCTTCAGGAAGCCTCTGTTCTGCTCTGAAAGCCTCCTAACTGGTTGCATCAGGCCCACCCAGATTATCTAGGATAATCTTCCTTCATTAGAGTAAACTGATTACAGACTTTCATCACATCTACCGATACCTTTACCGATACCCAGTGTTCTGTTGGGTAACTAGAGAGACCACAGCATAACCAAGTTCACATAGAATACTAGCACAACCACCCTTCCTCCAGAGAGTTGTTCTCAGGTGATGGGAGCTGCCTGGCTTTGGGGGGATACGCTCCCAACTCGGCAGCTGCCAGTCATGCACTGGCTGGGGGGTTACAAAGGCCTGCCTGTTCTCTTGTAAGATGGGGATGATCTGTGGTTCAGTTTATATGGCTTATTACATATGACATAATATTATTACATAATATGTTACATATTATTATAATATATAATATATAGTATCTATAAAATATGTTATAATATGAAGGTATATAAATTGTATTATATATTTATATAATTTATATATTGAATTCATAAATGCACATACATCCTAAATTACCATTGCCTTGTGCACCAGAAACCATGCTTTGTTTTCACCAAATCCCTTTTCCTTTCCTTCTTCCTGAGCGCATAGGAAGACGACGTTATTTTAGGATGGGCCATGTGACTAGTTCTGGTCAGGGGGCTCTAAGCAGACGTGATGTGTGTCAGTCAAGGCCATGGTATGGAAGGGCAAAAGAAGTATGGGTTCCCTGCGTTTTCTGTTCCCTTCTGTGGCTACCTGCGTGGTGTGGATGGTTTACATGCTGCAGATGCTCTAGAAGCCGTGTGTGTGTGTGAGATGCTAGAAGCCGTGCAGATCCACACGTCACTGGCTTGGAGGGGTCTGCCCTGGAGAGCCAACATATATACATCCTTTCTTCTTCTTTTAGGGTAAGAGATACTATATCTACCTAAGGTTTTTCGTTTTGTCCTTGTTTGTATTTTTGTTATTTTTAAGATACAATGTAAGCAATTTTCTGAAGCCGCCCTGCATTCTTATACTTCCATGCTCATTCTGGTATTGTCTTCTCGGTCTAGAAAGTTCTGAGGCAGACTTGCAATCAGTCTGAGGTCCAGTCCCTATTCTACTCTTTATAGGTAGAATTTTTTTTTTTTTTTAAGATTTTTTTATTTATTTATTCATGAGAGACAGAGAGAGAGAGGCAGAGGGAGAAGCAGGCTCCCAAGGAGCAGAGAGCCCGATGCGGGACTCGATCCCAGGACCCTGAGATCATGACCTGAGCCGAAGGCAGACGCTTAACCATCTGAGCCACCCAGGCGCCCTATAGGTAGAATCTTAAGTAGATTACTTAGATTCCTCATTAATAAGAAAGTAATAATAATTCCTAGTCAAAGTGTTGGTTTTATTTGGACTTAATAAACCAGTGTTTCCAGAAGCCCTTAGTATAATCTCTGATTCAGAAGTTAAAATGCCTAGCAGTAACTCATTAATGGTTTTGCTGTCTTTTTCTTTCCCCCTTATTAAAAGCCTACATATCCTTCAAGGCTTACCTCAAATGTGACCTCTTCTTGCTTAAATGTTTTCCATTCTTCCTTTGCAATCACGAGGCTCGATATATGCTCCTCTGTTTAGCCTTATCTCGTTCTGCCTAGAATTGGAGCTATTTGTTCACACCTCTTACTGCTTAGATTTTTCAACTCTTCAAGGGCAGTAAGACCTCTTTTTCTTTTTTTTTTTAAAGATTTTATTTATTTATTTGAGAGAGAGAATGAGATAGAGAACATGAGAGGGGGGTGGGTCAGAGAGAGAGGCAGACTCCCTGCTGAGCAGGGAGCCCGACGTGGGACTCGATTCCGGGACTCCAGGATCATGACCTGAGCCGAAGGCAGTCGCTTAACCATCTGAGCCACCCAGGCGCCCGAGACCTGTCTTTTTCATCTTTGTATTTTGTCCTTCCTCCTCCCAGCACCCAGTGAGTGCCTGGTGAGTAGGAGGTTCTCGACGATATTTATTAAAATGGAATGAAATGAAACCTAATGGGTTTTGCAAATAAAATGGACGTGTCTTTTCCCAGAACCTCCAAAGGCATTTTGGAGAGGAAGTGTACCCAGTGTGCATTCTCTAAATCATTAGCAAGGTTAAAACTGAAGGTCTGTGATGTCTGGCAGCTCTGACAAGGAATATTCGCAGTTAACCAAGTTTTATGCGATAGTCATTCTACATGGATTTGGCACAGCTCTGTGGATGACAAAGACGCCACAGAGATAGTTGACATTTTTCTTTACAGACCTCGTTCTGCTCAGCTCTGGACTCAGAGCTTAACTTAGCTTGCATAATGGCTGTCAGAAGAGCGAAGAAGCCTGCAACTTCAGTCTCGGAAGGCGGCGAAAGAGAGAATGAGACCTACCTACAAAGGCATTTTAGCTTTTGTTGCCTTTTCACAGCTTTGACCACAAGGTTTAAAAATAGTTTTAATGGCAGAGATCTAGATACTTAGGAGAGGACAGAAGCAGTGTGTTTTTAAGTGTTTGCTGTTGTTCTTTTCAAATAAGTCATAATGGTTGTTAGAATAGTTCATGGAATTACGGTTAGAACAATTTTTAAAACTTAGCTTTATAAATTTAGCTTTATAAAATTTAGTTTTATAATAAAGGAATGAGCCATTAATTTTAAGGAATATTCTGAGACATTTAAATAAATCATATTTTTTTGCAAGATATCAACTGAGAAAAAGGTAAAAAGGAGCATGTTATCAAAGAGGAGCAACCCGATTAAATATGTATGTCTCAAAAAGGATGTGTGTGCATATGCATAGGGAAAGCCTGGAAGGAAATGTATCAAAACATTAATAATATGTGTTCTTTTCAGTTTTTGATTGGCAAACTGTTGTGGGTAATTTTCATGTGTTTTGTTTTTCTTTCTTTCTTTCTTTTTTTTTTTTTAAATATGGAACTTTCACAAATTTGCATGCCATCCTTGTGCAGGGCCGTGCTTACCTTCTCTCTATCGCTCCAATTTTAGTATATGTGCTGAGGAAGTGAGCACAATTTTGATGTTTTTACAGGTACTTTTCTGTGTCTCCCTTTATATTTCTATAGGATTTCCTTTTAGCTTTTCCCTTAGTTCTGCTGCAAAAACAGAAGAAATCAGAAAACAAAAGATGACTTAATTTGACTTAATGTATTGGCTTACCTTTAGGTACTTAGTAGGTTAGGCTCATCTCTAAACATTTTTCATAAGTTATCTTATTTCATCTTCATAAAAATCCTGCTATTATTTATATTTATTTACCAGGTGAAGGAATCAAGTCATGGGAAGGTTAAGGAACATGGTTGTGGCAACCCATAGGTAGTAAGTAAGAACACATCCACAGATTCGCTCCAGAGCTGTGCTCAGAACATGAGACCCCAGGCAATGCCTAGGATGCATGGAGGGGAGGGGAGGTTTATGATGACATGTGCTTGTATTATTTGGGGGGAATTCTTTTCCAAGCCCAGCCTGCTGAAAGCAGTGAGGAAGACTAGGGACTGATGTTGGAATGAAGGAGAGATGATCTCTGAATTAACAGGGCAGTAGGGTTGACTGGCAATAAAAATTTTTCTTTTTTATCCAAGTTACCAATTTTTGATGGCCTGAATGATAGCTACAGAATTGGATGGCCTTTGAAGGTTTTGACAGGAGAGTGAGTGGTAGTCAACCCAGTTCTTTCTTTATTTTTTTTTGATAAGAAAAATATGTCTATTTTGTAATGTGTGTTACAGTAAAAATGTCTATCTTTAATATATATATAAAGCTCTTCCAAACCAGTAAGAATGGAAAAGTACAAGAACAGCCAACTACAAAGGAACATGTATGACCAGAAAACCTGTAGAAAAATAACCTTTCTCACTAAAAAATTTAATAATCAAGCAATAAAATGTGATACCTATTTGTCTTATCAAATTGAGAAATGATTGACATGCAGCACTGTATTAGTATTAGGCATACAACATAATGATTTGATACATGAATGTAACACAAAATACCTACCACAGTAAGTGAGCATCCATCACCACACACAGTTACAAATTATTTTTTAACTCCAATCTATTCAACAAATATTACTGGAGACTATATCCTGGGGACAAGGCTCCATGCAAGTGGTTTTGAAGGCTGGGTGGGAGGCTGGGGGCAGCCAGGGCTTGAGGTAAGGCCCTAGAGCGTAGGAGAGAGATCAGCTTAGGCTTAGCCCACAAACAAGAATGCCAAGTGCCATCTGCATGCTGCTTTCCAGTTTCCAACATGATTTCATAAACTGTTTTACTTATTTTTAATTTATCCACTGAAGAACCTTATAGAAGGGAAAGACAAGCAGTATTTAACAAGTACTCACTGTATGCTAGGCACTATGCTAGAATTTTTGCTCATTCTGGCTCATGCAACTTCCTGAACAACTCCTTTTAGGAGGTCATGGTTATGTACTAGCCACCTGAATCTCGGAAAGTGAATTAACACACTGTGAACTCTGGAGTCCCCCTGCATCCATATACAGAACTCTGTCCATTGCTCTGCGCTGCATGGGCTCTGGGTCACCTAAGGCTGACATATTGGAACAGGTGCATTTCTACGAAAGAGGGATGTTCTTAATCAACTTGGTACCTTTTTCAGCTTCTTTCTCACCTATAAAAGGAGTTCCAGTTTGAGCATGCTCACCTGGCAGTTTCTCAGAAAATCCCACTATTCACCAACTGGGTCAGGATCCACTTGATAGATTCATGGCCCCCTAGTGCAGGCCTTAGGCCTTGGATTTAATTTTTTCTCCTCATTAGCCTACTTTGGAACTGGGCTCAGCAAAGTCCAGTGCATGGGGAATTTTGGTAAGATGGCAGAGGATTAGGAGACCTGGATTTCGTCTGGTCCCAGGAATTCAGCTGGATAGGGATCAAACCATTCTGAACACCTACGAACTCAACAGGAGATCAAAGAAAAGAATAGCAGAAACTCTCTGAACAGAAAAGCGACCACTTTCTGGAAGGTAGGACGTGCAGAGAAGTGAATCTGAGGCAATATTTGGGAAGATAGGCGGCGGGGGAGGGGCCTCCGTTGGCTGCTTCTAGCAAGTGATAGAGCCGCAGAGCACAAAATCGGAACTTTTAGAAGTTGGCTCCGCTGAGGGACGTCGCTCCGGTGGCTAAGTTGGGGGTGGAACCCTCGCGGGACAGTGTGGTCTCAGGACTCGGGGGGTCACAGAAAGACCGGGGGTTCCTGAGTGCGGCAGAGCTCCCAGGTATCGGAGCGGGGAAGTTGGCTGCAGAGACGGAGCCGAGACGCGGGCTGTCAGCTCGAAGTTGCCATAAACCATGATCCGCGGCACAGTCGGGCCACTGCTCCTCCAGCAGGGACACAACAAGCGGCAGATCGGGGAGACTCCGCTTCCTCCCCTGGGAGGAGTGGCGTGGGAGTGCACCGTGGGGATCTGCTGGGTTTGGAGACTCCACACCGGTTGGGTGCCAGAGATAGAAATGCTCGGTCACAGGCCGGGTGAGCACGGAGTGCGGCCGGAGACTGGGGAGACGGGAGTGATTGACTGCTTTTCTCTGGGGGCGCACTGAGGAGCGGGGCCCCGAGTTCTCGGCTCCTCTGGGGTGGAGATTGGGAGGCCGCCATTTTCACTCTCGTCCTCCAAAGCTGTACGGAAGGCTTGCAGGGAACAAAAGCTCCCAAGAGCAAACCCGAGCAGATTACTTAGCTCAGACCTGGCAAGGCGGGGCAATTCCGCCTCTGGCAAAGACTTTTGGGAACCATGGCAACAGGCCCCTCCCCAGAAGATCAGCAAGAACAGCCAGCCAAGACCAAGTTTACCGATCAATGAGAATGGCAGAACTCCCACGCTAGGGGAATATAGCATATAAAATTCATGGCTTTTTTCCCATGATTCTTTAGTCTTTCAAAGTTAATTTTTTAAATTTTCTTTGTTTTCCTTTCCTTTTTTTTTTTGAATTTTTCTTTTTCCCTTTTTCAACCAACATCTTATCGATCCCCCTTTTTTTTTAAATTTATTTATTTGACAGAGAGAGACACAGTGAGAGAGGGAACACAAGCAGGGGGAGTGGGAGAGGGAGAAGCAGGCTTCCCGCGGAGCAGGGAGCCCGATGCGGGGCTCGATCCCAGGACCCTGGGATCATGACCTGAGCCGAAGGCAGACGCTTAACGACTGAGCCACCCAGGTGCCCCTTATCAATCCCTTTTTTAAAAAATCTTTTTTATTTCTCATTTTTAGAGTCATATTCTACCCCTTCATAGTAGTTACCCTTATTTTTGATATATATATAAGTTGTTCTCTCTTTAAAATTTTGGGATACAGTTACTTCTAACAGACCAAAATATACCCTAAATCTGTAGTGTATGGCTTTGTTCTACTCTCCTGCCTGATCACATTCTCTCCCCCTCTTTTTTTAAAATTCCTCTTCTTTCTTTTTTCAATCAACTTCTTTTCCTATTAACTCCTTTTATAAAATCTTTTATAATATTCATCATTATAGTCATATTTCATCCATTCATTGTATTTACCCTTATTTTTGTACATATAAGTTTTTCTTTCTTTAAAACTTTGGGAGGCACTTTCTTCTAACAGACCAAAATGTGCCCAAAATCTGCTGTGTGGCACTGATCTATGCACCAGTCTGATCATATTTGATCATATTCTGTTATTTTGTTTGTTTGTTTTTATCTTTTTTCTTTTCCTTTTTCTTCTTTTTTTTCTTTCCCTTTCTTTTCCCCCAGTTTCAGGTCTCTTCTGATTTGTTTAGTGTATATTTTTCTGGGGATGTTGTTACCCTGTTAGCATTTTGTTCTCTCATTCATCTATTCTCCTCTGGACAGAATGACAAGACAGAAAAAATCACCTCAAAAAAAAAGAACAAGAGGCAGTACCGACTGCCAGGGACCTAATCGATACAGACATTAGTAAGATGTTGGAACTAGAGTTCAGAATGATGATTTTAAAGATACTAGCTGGGCTTGAAAAAAGCATGGAAGATATTAGAGAAACCCTTTTATTTCTGGAGAAATAAAAACTAAAATCCAACCAAGTAGAAATCAAAAAGGCTATTAATGAGGTGCAATAAAAAATGGAGGCTCTAATTGCTAGGATAATGAGGCAGAGGAGAGAATTAGTGATATAGAAGACTAAATGGTGGAAAATAAAGAAACTGAGAAAAAGAGAGATAAACAACTACTGGATCATGAGGGCAGAATTCGAGAGATAAGTGATACCATAAGATGAAACAATATTAGAATAATTGGGATCCCAGAAGAAGAAAGAGAGAGAGGGGCAGAAGGTATATTGGAGCAAATTATAGCAGAGAACTTCCCTAATTTGGGGAAAGAAACAGGCATCAAAATCCAGGAGGCACAGAGAACCACTCTCAAAATCAATAAAAATAGGTCAACAGCCCGACATCTACTAGCAAAACTTACGCGTCTCAGAGACAAAGAGAAAATCCTGAAAGCAGCTCGGGACAAGAGATCTGTAACCTACAAAGGTAGAAACATTAGATTGGCAACAGACCTATCCACAGAGACCTGGCAGGCCAGAAAGGACTGGCAGGATATATTCAGAGCACTAAATGAGAAAAATATGCAGCCAAGAATACTATATCCAGCTAGGCTGTCATTGAAAATAGGAGAGATAAAAAGCTTCCAGGACAAACAAAACTAAAGGAATTTGCAAACACGAAACCAGCCCTACAAGAAATTTTGAGGGCACCTGGTGGCTCAGTTGGTTAAGCAACTGCCTTCGGCTCAGGTCATGATCCTGGAGTTCCAGGCATCGGGCTCCCTGCTCAGTGGGGAGTCTGCTTCTCCCTCTGACCCTCCCTCCTCTCATGTGCTCTCTCTCTCACTCTCAAATAATTAAAATCTTTAAAAAAAAAAGAAAGAAATATTGAAAGGGGTCCTCTAAACAAAGAGAGAGCCTAAAAGTAACATAGACCCGAAAGGAACACAGACAATATACAGTAACAGTCACCTTACAGGCAATATAATGGCACTAAATTCATATCTTT